ATGGATGAAGAGATCGCTGGGATAGACAATGGGTGAGCCTGGTTGCCACATTAACCCTTTTCTTGGCTGGGTTCACGCAACATAGTCAGCCCCAACAAAGGAATGCCCATTAACAAATGTTCAGGGGTGCCATAAGAGTCTATCCTGGGTCTTCTACTCTTCAATATTTCTATTAATGACTTAAATGCTCAAGCACCCCTCCAACCCAAGGAATGGAAGAATGGATCTCATGACAAAGTCCTAACGGTAAGAGCTGTTCAACATTGGCTTAACCCTAACCTTGTGCTTCATCCAGAACCTGTGCCTGGGGCTGAGGAGATACATTGAGAACCAAAACTTCTCAGGGCAGGATTCTGAGGACGTCAATAAGCAGCTACCTCTTAGTGCACAGCTCAGGAAACATAAAGCAGGTTTTCTGTTAAGCTGTGGGAAAAGTGGGAAGGAAAGGTGCCAAAAATAGACCCAAGAAGCATTAAAATAGGGCAACAACACTAACTGTCAGAAGCAATCAATCTATTTATTGAATGGATTTCTATCCCAACTTACTTTTAGGAGCTCGAGGCAGCAGGCCTAGCATGTCTCCAGAATAACACCCCTACAAAGTAGGTTGGGTTGGGAAGAGTGGCTGGCCTAAGGTCAGCCTGGGAGCTTCCATGGAGGAGGGTGACTTTCATCCTGAACTGCTGGGGATGCTTCCATTCTTGGGTTAGGTAAAAACCCATTGATGACTTTGCCATGTCAAGTTTCCAAGAGGTTCCAGCCAAGCTGAAGCCTGCTGAGGAGGGTGCAGAATGTTGGGCGGGTAATGGCTGAGTTGGGTCTCACGTGATCAAGCAAATGTGCTTGCTGCAAGGGAGCTACGAGGCAGTGCAAAGGCTTGCTTCTGGCACATCGCATCCTCCACCATGTGTGATCAGCTGATCGCTGAGATGCTCAGGTTGACAGAGTGTCCGCCAGAGGTGCTCCCTCCCCCCAGTTAATGTGGCACCTCTTGAAGGCCTCACATCTCCCCCTGGATGAAGGACCGGTGGCTTTTTGCTTATGTTTCCCACCCCTTTCAATTACCCCTTAATGCTGTTTTTATTTATTGCTCTTATTATGCATTTTATATTTTGTAAACCAAGATGCTTCAAGGAGTACAAAATATGCTAACTCACAGGAGGAACTCTGGCTCTTCAGTGCTGGGGAAGCAGCAAAGAAGGAGGGTGGCCAGAGAAGCCCGCGGTGGGGCCAACAGGCCCACGGCAGTTGAGAGGCTGCCTGTGCAAGGTGGGGAGAGAGTGAGAGCAAAGCTGCTGCCCCCCACCCCCAGTCTTGCCAAAGGCCCAGCAGAGCAGTCCAAGATGCTTCCTTGGGATCCCTGCCTGTGTCAGAGCCCCTGGGCAGCTGTTAGCCAGGGAGATAATGCCCGCCTGCCTCCTGGGCTCAGCGCTGGAGAGGACTCGGAGGAGCACCTTCTGCTGCAGGCCCCCCATCTCTGGAGGGACAGCAAGGAGCACACAAAGTGGACATCACTCTGGGGTAAGAGGAGGCCACGACTTTCCTCCTGCACCCTGGCCGTAAAAGCAGCTCCCAGGGAGCCAGGCAGGAGGATGGTTGCCAGGCAGAGCAGCTGCCCAGTGAAGGAAGGCCACCAGCCACCCTGAGCCTGGAGCTCACCAGACCTCTTCCCTGCATTTCTGCCGGGAATTTTTCTGCCCCAAGCCGATGTTGGACCACATTTCTTTTCTGACGGAGATTTATTTCATGCTGTTTTAAGCAACATGGAGGGAGGAGCAAAGGAGTGGCCAGACAAGGAGGGAGAATTATAAACCCTTAGAGGAAGGTTGGTGCCGGCAGGGTGTGCCAGCATCTCTGAAGAGCCAGGCCTTTGGCCAAATGGTCCAGGAGACCCTGAAAGAGCTGCGAAGCTGAGAAGGGGCGTGTTCCCCGGGAAGGACAGTGTGACGGCCAGTTCACAGAGGAATGGGAGTTGCGACGAGGTGTCTGAGAGCTGAACTGAGGGTCACGGGGCCCAACACTCCTTGACGGAAAACAGAGAATAGCCCTGAATTCGGCCATCACGCTATCACTCTTGCTGCTGCTCCTGCCTGCCCCAAATCCCGTCCCCTTTCCGAAGACGTCCAAGCCAGCCCCACAAGCTGACGGGCGAAAGGATACCCACAGAGTGACCTTTGCTCTTTCTAAGCCACGCTGCTGAAAAGACCAGACCTTTCCCACACCATTCTGTGCAGAGCCCTCGGAAATATGACGCTGTGGCGTGCAGGAGCTCTGTGATTGGGATCCCACCTTTGAGTAAGATTGCAAATGGTCATGGCCAGGCGCACTGGATCAGAAGTTCGTCCTTTCTCCCAGGGTCATTATTTTCTGGACGCCCGAATGGCCCCGGAGCTGCAGCTGGCCCTATGGAGGAGTGGACGAAGGAGACCTAAGCACCTTCTCTCCCTGTCAGGATAAATGGCAAAAAGGGTGGGCTTACGTGGCTTCTGCGTGGGGGCTGAGAAAGTGAGAAAGTTCCCTTGTTGCCATGGCCCCAGGCCTCCCCCCTCCCCCCACCGACTGCTGCTTTCTTCTCCTTGGTCCTGATCTGGCCAGGTGACCCACCTAGTCTAGCCTTCCCCCGTTTACTCGCTTTCACAGCTCTTGAGCCAAGCAGGCTAATGACCCACATTTAGGCAGGTTGGGGACGTGATGGCTGTGGCAACTGTCCTCCAGCTTTCCCTAATTCAGCTGGCCAGTTTGCTAATAAGATCTTCCTTCCTTCCTTCCATCCCAAACTTGGAAACTAATACAGCAGTTTCCTTTTCCTCGTGAGAGGCACTTCAGGCCAATGGCGCAGCGCTGACTTAAAAGAGAGCGATGGGAATTGGGGGGTGCAGACTCCCCTTTGCTGGAAGTGTTTGAGCAGAGGCTGGGTGGTCAGAGAGGCTGGGCAGGAGGCTGAATGAAATGCTCTCCAAAATCTCCTCCAGCTCTCACATGCTCTGTTCTTCTTGACTCAGCAGCTCCAATCTCTATGCGCCCAAGGAATAGGTTGCCACCTGGAAGATAGGGCAGAACTGTTTGCTGTTCTTTCAGAAGACAGGGCAAGAAACAAGAGGCTTAAATTACAAGGAAACAGATTTAGGGTAGACACCCAAAAGAGTTTTCTCATGCTAAAACTGTTCAGTGAGAGACTACTGTAGAGTGCCTCAAGAGGTAGTAGATGGACAGCCATCAGTTGCAGAAGCTACAGTAGTGGATGAGGGTTGGACTAGAAGAAGACTTTGGGCCTCATCCAAAGTCTCTCCAACTCTTATGTCATACTGGAGAAGCACTAGCAAAGCTTGTTTTGGTTTCTCTCCCTTCCGGTGAGGAAGCAAAATTCTCCGCTGGCCAGCATGGTGGACAAGAACCACAGCAATGCTCACCCTTCAGCATTTACCCTGCTGGGCATCCCAGGCCTAGCAGCTGCGCATCGCTGGCTATCCATCCCTTTCAGCTCCATTTACATGGTCTCCCTGCTGGGGAATGGCATGATCCTCTGGGTCGTAAGCAGCGAGACTGCCCTGCACACGCCTATGTTCTTGTTCCTTTCCATGTTGGCTGCCACAGACCTGCTTCTGGCTAGCTCAGTGGCACTCCAGCTGCTCAGAATTCTCTGGTTTGATGCCGGGGAGATCGGCTTTGATGTCTGCCTGGCCCAAATGTTCTCTGTGCACTTTTTCTCGGCCATGGAGTCAGGGACGTTGATGGCCATGGCCCTGGACCGGTACCTGGCCATCTGCTGGCCCCTGCGGTACAGCTCCATCCTCACCAGTAGCCGGGTGGCCAAGGCTGGGTTGCTGCTGGTGCTTCGTGGAGTGGCCATCGTGGGCCCCTGCCCTCTGCTGGTGCGCAGACTGTCTTTCTGTGGCTCCAGGGTCATTGCCCACTCTTACTGTGACCATATGGCTGTGGTGAAGCTGGCCTGTGCCAGCCCCACTGTAGACAGTGTGTATGGCTTGGTCCTCATCCTCCTGATTGGGGGCTCAGATATGCTGAGCATTGGGATGTCCTACGCGCTGATCCTCAGGACCATTCTGCGCCTCCCCTCCCAGCAGGCCCAGCTCAAGGCCTTTAGCACCTGCAGTGCCCACATCTGCATCATTCTGACCTTCTATATCCCAGGCTTGGTTTCTCTCTTGATGCACCGTTGCAGACACAGCGTGCCTCCTTCAGCTCATGTCCTCCTTTCCAATCTCTACATGCTGCTGCCCCCAGTGCTCAACCCCATCGTCTACGGGGTCAGGACCAAGAGCATCCGGGACCGCTTGCTGCAGGCCTACCAGTGGTGGGACAGATGGCCTTTCAGGCGCATGGCTCCGGAGTTCTGACTAGCCCACAGATCTCTTGCTGGAGTAATAGCTAAGACTCAGAGATAGGGAACCTTGATCTGATCGCTGGCTGGATCCTGCTGAATTAGACCTTACAGGATCCCTGCAGCACAGGGGTCTCCTGCTCACTAGCATTCTTTATTCAGCCCTCAGCATAAAAACCAAACATTTTCACTAAAGAAAAAGTTAAGCCGGGGCTTCCTCCAGTGAGAGTCATGGCTGACTGAAGACGTCTCCATGAACAAGCAGAGACAACAACGGTTGTGCAGAACAAAAGACCAGTGAGTAGACCGGTCCCTGAAATGGAACTAAATCCATACTACGAACTGAGACTTGATGAGGGTTGCAAATGGACACTAAAAGGAACCAAAGAACCAGGCAGAAAAGAGTCGAAATGGAGCCAACTATACTTTTTCTTATCTTAAAGAGTTTTTTACATGGACTGAAATATGAATAAATATCTCAGAAAAGATACAGATTTCAATGGATAAACTCTTAGGAGACAATTAGAACATTTTTTAAAATCTTTTACCCGACATAGGCATTATAGAGTTTGAAAGCATGGAAAACGAAATTGAGATTACCAGAATGGGAGTACAAAAAACCAATCAAGAGAAGGATCTGGACACGGAAAAGCTGCGACAAGAAATCCTGGAAGATGCCTCTCTATGGGACTTACAGAGTAGGCTGGTGAGAGCTTTGGAGACTCCTCTTAGATGCCACAGAGGGATGAAAGATCAAATCCTGTGATGCCCGAGGAAGGATTTAAAGGCCAAGATTGTGCGGAGCAAAAAGAAGGAATGCAGAGATGGACTATCTGACCAGGGATAAACTGTTGGTTTGGTATTTCTGGTAACTCCTAATGGAGTTTTTGCTGAGCCAGGACGGAAAGATCATGATTTCTGGATTGCGTAGAGATAAAAGTTAGGCTACGGGGAGAAGGGTTTTTGGTGTTTTTTTAACTTTAAAAAAGGGTGAAAAGTTACTGCATTAGCTTATGCTCAGTGTGACGAAGGCTGGAAGCCACCTCTTTATTATGGTTCTTTTCTACTTTTTTCTTTTTTTTCCTGCACTTTTATTTTTTTTCTTTGTAGTTTAGTTTGTGTTAGCTTTTACTATGTATATTAAAAACTTTAATAAACATTATTTTTAAAAGTTAAGCTGGCTACATCTGATTCCACTCCAGATGAGATGAGATGCCTGGGACACCCAAGAACCCTTCTGCCCAAGGGCTTCTGCAGGGGTGGTGCCTCAGCTTATCGCTGTAGCTTTTTCAGGTTCTCAAGCAGATGTTTTGCATCTGGGTCGGGATTGCTACACCCAGTAGAATAGATGCAAAATGCTGAGTTGGGTTGCTTGGGTGTTGAGGTTTGACTAAGGCAGTGTGGTCCAAACTTGGCCACTTTAAGATGAGTGGACTTCAACTCCCAGCTGGGAGTTGAAGTCCACTCATCTTAAAGTGGCCAAGTTTGGACAACACTGGACTAAGGTGATCAGTGGGGGATACTTGGGAGTCCTATCAGAAAAAAGAAGGGTACAGTTCTCATTTCCTTTGGCTGGTCTTCTTGCTGTCTTCCGATTTCAGTTTAACTGCGCCTGGGCAAAAGAGCCGTTTCACCACGTTTCCCGGCAGACAGAGCCGAGGCCATAACAAACAAAATCCCCCACTTTCTCCCTCCTTTTCTATTTTTCAGTGGAGGTAACATTTGTGGATGTTTAAATTGTTGCACTGGTTCTCGCACAGATCTCGGCTACGTGACGCTTTGCGTCTCGGCTGGGACTGGGCAGAAGGTCAGTTTGAGATGTTCAGCTGGCCTCTGGGCTTCCAGGCTGTCCTGCTATGATTGCAAGGTTCAGAACAGCAGCTGCAAGGCTGCGAATCTGGTCTTCCAGTAAAGGCAAGTGAGGCTCAGGCTCCATATTTTCTGACAAGACAAGGCAACTGGGGAGGACAGCTCTGGCCTGGACCTGGATATCAGTCCTGATGTCTTCGTTGATCCCCAGGGGGAAGAGCAGTTGCAGGGCCACACCGGTGGAGAGGATCCTGTCTCTGTCTCCCCCAGGCGAGCACTCCAGAGGCGTAAGGAACAAAATGCTGGACAGCGATGGGCCTTGTCCTTGTCCAGCTTGGCCATTTTTGTGTTCCCATTGCCACAGAAATAGGCTGACACAAAACAAAGAGAGAGACTTACAGAATCATAGAAGTGAAGGGACCTTAGAGGTAATCTGATCCAACCACCTTATCCATACAGAATCCACTAGGAGAATCTCTGACGTGTTGGAGATTCTTCAACTTTAGTTCTTGATGGAGGTGGACTTCCCAGGTAGAACATGTGTGCATAATTTTGGGGTCCTCCTGGACTCTCAGTTTTTGTTTGATAAGCAAGTGGCACCAGTTTCCAGGAGGGCCTTTGTACAGATTCATCTGGTGTGCCAAATTCACCTTTCTTTGGATCAGGAGGTTGTTCTTATGTTCATTCATACTATGAGCTGCACACCCTTTGAAGACCAGTCAAGAGCTCCAGTTGGTCCAGAATACAGCAGTGCAGGTGGCATATCTTGTTTGATCCTCTACTTCCATGGTTTTCATTTTGAATGACTTACATTTTGTAGATGGCATAATGGCTCTGTGGTATGATTAATATTTGTATTGTCATTATCCCTGTTTCATTTGTATCTATTATATGGATGTATCTATTTATTATAAAGATTTGTACCCATTATGTTGAAAAGATACATAAATAATATATAATAAAATGGAGCGTTAAGATTTCCCTTTGTCTCCCCTCTTTGTCTATCAGTCTGCCTGCTCTTTGTTAAGAAATTGTTTATCTGTTTATCTTCCTGGTAGGGTGTAGTAGGAGGGGCTAGGCTTTGCCTATCCAATAATGTATTTCCTGTAAATAAATACTTATGTTGTAGTTATAAAACCTGCTATACTCATCATTGCTCAAGTCACATTCCCACTCCTAGAAACACCAACGTGCACCCACAGAATGCTTCAACAAGGTTACTACCTAGTTCTAGTTCTGGCCTCTGGGACAACAGAGAATAAATCCATTCCTTCTTCTGCTCTGAGGAAAGGGTTTGACAAATGACCTTTGAGGTAACTTCCAACCCTATGGTTCTATGTGTCAACCCTTCATATCTCCCCTCCATCATCTTTTCTGTAGGCTGAACAAACCCAGATCCTTTACCTGTTCCGTGTAGGGGCTTTTAAACCCTTCACCATCTTGGTTGCCTTCCTCTGAACTCGCTCCAATTTATCACTGTTCTTTTTGAACTATGATGCTCAGACTGGACATAGCACTTCAAATGGGAGAAGACCAGGAAGAAATGATTGGAACAATTGTTTCTTACTAGACAACCCATGACCTGTTAGGTCATCATTTCAAGGATATTTCCTTACCTAAACAGAGAAACAGAATGACCACGGGCAAACATGCAGTGGGAGTCTGAGCAACTTACAACTTGCTGCTGGCTTCCCCATTGATTTCCCCTGAAGCTGGCAGGAAGCATCAGAAATCTTCCTTCCTTCCTTCCTTCCTTCCTTCCTTCCTTC